ATACGCTTGGTCACGTAGTAATAGGTCGTCATTTCGTGGATTTGATGCCGGTCTCCCAAGGAAATCCATTCCAGCATTCTCTATTCTTATAATGCCAAGGCAATTTAGGATAAATTATATTGTCGATTTCGTCACACGAATGGTCCTCGGATTTTCGAGCTGCGCTGTGAAATTGCTTGTCTCGGCAACACTCTTACTCTTTCAACACTTATTTTACTCGTCTGAAAGACTTATGGGATAAGGTTTCCTCTTTTCTTCCTCGTTGCATATGCGGTGCTTGTACTTGTGGCGATGTTGCTCGATTGAAAACTTAATTACGAAATTGAGTATATCAAGACCTTCTTTATGGGCTTACATGACTCTTACCGGTCTTCTCTGTTAGAGTAGGTGACCAACAAGCCAACATGTGGCTGTGGTCTTTCGTATTTATTATGGTAATAAACGAACCTTTTTCGTATTAATGATAAAACACATTGGCATTCTATATCTTTTTCCATTTGTCACAAGCATAGATATAGTCCTTACAGTTATTACAAGTACTAGTAATTGATCGTTAGGATCGTGAGATATTTACTTAAGTATTATAACTGTTAAACGTGCTCCTAGTCGAAGGGTTACGCCACCAATGAGGATATCGGCCTTTCCCATTAAGAGACTAGCACTTAGTGTATGTGTACTACATCTCATCATTAAACGGTATTGTGATATCGGCATGCATAAGTGGGTGCTCGTAAGTTGACGAGTTCACTGAACTCCCTCACCCTCGAGTAGAGTTATCTGTCGTATAGTTGTACACCATTAGTCCTTATGACCTAGAAATCACTAGAGGACCAGCTGTATCGTGACATGTCCCTAAGTTCCACCGAGGACCACCCCAAGGGCCAGTGTTCGTGCAGTCCGAAATCTAGTGGGAGGTTTGTGCATTGTAGTCGGGGATTCGATCGCTAGAATAGTCTTGGATGTCTTGTGTGTTCTTAAAGTTTGTAATCTCTAGCCAGAGCTGACTAAGTGATGATTAGAGAATTCGATTCTCTAAGTCATGCACGTAACGATTACAACACTTAGAACGATCGCACGGTCATTGAACAAATAAAGAGGTCTCGATGAACCAATGCCTCTAGTTCAATCGGGATATATGAATCGAAGGGATCGTACTGTACGCTAACTATATCTGAAGGTTCTTGCAGGCACTTCATTTGTATCTAGGGAATCATGACGCGCAGTTGCTAGACGCCAATCTTGATTCGTTGGGTGATTAAGGTGAAACGAGTTTCATCTTAATCGTAACTCTAAGGGACGAGTTTTGACCATAAAGGGTTGTGGGCCCACGGCTAGCTTACACCTGAACCATCGAGGGTCACACTACTTGTGCACATGAGATCTTTGAATGAACGGTCAAAGGTAAAAATGGTTTATCTTTGCATGATTGGAAGTCAATATGATTGGGTCCAACATTCCTCATTTGGAATTATGAATGAGAATAAGAAAAGGAAAAGAATAGGCGAACATCTTAGTGGACTTTCAAAATCGGGAAGTTTCCAAATTTAGAAAGTGCACTAAATTAGGGTTTCCACTTTTGGAAAGTTGGAAATAGAGAGTTGGCACTAGTAATGACGAGGACATTATAATGATTCCGAAAATGTAATTGTTACAATTTTCCGATCATCGAATTGACAGAAACGAGCAAGTAAAAGAACTAACGAACATAAGTTGTTGGGCCCGGTCCAACTTAAGCCCGTTAGTGTTTTATGCAAGACACTATAAATACTTGATTTATAGGTCATGCACAAGATATAACACACGAACTAAACCCTAGCCGCTCCCTCTCTCGCTCGGCCATCGCCGTCGCCGCCGCCAACTCGCCTGAATCGGCCACCCCTTGTGCGATCCTTTTAGTAATTATTTCCTCTTTTCTATTTTCCCGTTTTTCTAACTATTACGTGTCTAGTGACACGTTCTAGTAGATCAAAGTATACGAGGCGAAATCCGAGAGGAGGAAGATCGAATATCGAAGAATCGAGGAGCAGCACACTAGCCGTTGTCGCGCGTGAGCCACACGCGCCACTGTAGCTCACCTAGCCGCTGCTGCCGTTTGGCCGCTGCTGCTCCGGATTGCACAGATTGGTTTCCGTGGCAATCTAGCTTGCTTAGTGCGCCTACCTCATGCTTCAAGAGGTAAACTTTCGAATCCATCGTCGTTAGACTCGGTTACGTTTAAATTATTATATGCATTTTCGTATTAGTAAGATAATTGTATGATTTTATGTGACTACATGAAATTGTTTATTCTCTACGAGCATGTTATTTGATTTAAACGCGAGCATGCTAATTGATTTCATTTCGATTAAGTAATTAAGCATGTATGTAGTTTTTTAAATTTCGCTGGAAGCACAAAGGTACGCAATTAATTGTTTTAAATTATCGGGCATGTGCTTATGTGTTTTAAATTTGTTTAAATCGCATAAAATTTTTGTTTTTCGTTGCGTACACGTGTCCGATACCCAACAGTGGTATCAGAGCTCGTTGCGCAATTAATTGCGTTTTTAATATGCTATGATTTTATGCATGTTCGATTTATTAAATTAGCGATTGTTGTATTATGTAATTGGGAGTTTTTCAAGAGTTTAAAATATTTTTGAAATATTGTTTAGAATTTTTTCAGCTTTAAAATTGTTTAAAATTGGAAAATCGGATCTGAAATTATTTTTAATACATCGGTTTTTAATTGTTCAGATCGAACCGGTCAAACCGGTTGGTTCGATGGTTGTGTGCGATCCAATTGACCGAATCCACGTGGCTTCGGGTCGGTCAGACCGGTTCTCGGTACGACTGACCAGGCCCACTGATTTGAGTCAACTGGACCGGGCAGAACCGGACCGTTTCGGTCCGAACCGGTCAGACCGGTCGGCCAAACCGGTTCGCTGAAAAAAAAAAGAAAATATTATTTCAGATTTATAAAATTAAACTTAAAAAAAAATTGATTTTAATTTTCGGAAAATTATTTTCAATTGATCCCAATTAGATAATCGAGTCAACAATCATCTATTTTAGTAAATAGGTGTTAGATTAATTAATGAATTTAAATTGTTAAATTGATTTCAATTAATAGAACACAGATATAATATTGATTATAGTTCAACTTAATTAATAGTACCTCAACATTATTTGAATGATTTATGCTACTTGAGGTTCTATAATTATTTTAAAAAACCCGATAATTAATTAATGTAATTAATTATGTAGTTAGGTCGTATGTTCATCTTAGGACAATATGCGTTTCCATATACCTTTAGAGAACATAGATGTAGGAATCGCATAGACCAATCCAAACCTTCTGATGAAATAAAACTTTTTAATAAAATCCCTCATTCTTAATCTAATTAAGAATCATTTCAAGCTATAAAGAAAAACCAATTTGTTGATTTTTTTCTTTCCTTTGGCCAACGGTTGAGTTATGTGTAGCCCTTACTATAGTGCAGTAAGCCGTGTTAGCGGGGAGTGCTATGGTGAAGTAAGCTGTAATTCAGTTGACATAGCGATGAAGGTAGCCATAGAAAAGGGTTATGCTAGATTAATGTGGTCGGCTAGATTAACTAGGGACTGCATTAGTTTGGCATAATCAAGTTCTATGAGAATCTTTGATTGGTAGGTTAGACTTGACACACGACGATTTTGAATTCGCGAGATTAACTTAGATCATTATCATGTGTGAGGCAAATTAATTTAGGGTCATATTGTGGATATGATTGATTGTGATCTACCTTTGGGCAAATATAATTTGGCTAGATTAACTACGGGTTATATTTGTCTATTGGACCTAAAGCCCATTAAGAAAAATCAGTTTTCTCGTTTGTCTACTAGAGGGAAGTGGAACTCGATAAAATTAGTGGGAGAACAATTAAATAACATAAGGCCAAACATTTAATTGTAAACAATCATTTAACGCGAATCTCTAATAATCCTCTTCTCTATACCTCTCAGATAATCATGTCTAAGAATCCCATAATGTCAATCCTCGACAATAAACTCAATGGCCCTAATTACCTAGATTGGTTGCGTAGTCTTGAACTTGTGCTAACCGTTGAGGGGCGTCTCTATGTTCTAAACGAGAGACTTCCTGCCACTATACCTGCCACAGCGACTGATGCTGAAAAGGAAGCTTATGAAGCTTGGAAGAAATATGACACTCATGCTAGGTGTTATATGATAGCCGCCATGGAGCCCGCGCTTGCGAGGAAATATGAGTCTCACTTGCATGCTTTTGATATAAAGGCTCATCTCGATAGCATGTATAATGAGATTATAGGGCATCGATGTACGCTTCTACAAAGGAGTTGATCACGGCGAGACTGCGCAAAGGGACTTCGGTGCCCGAGCACTGTCTCAAAATGATCAATCTCCTTGAAAAGATAGTGAATCTCGATGTCACCCTCCCGGTCGAGCTCTCGTTGGATTTGATCCTGTTGTCTCTTCCTAGTTCCTATGAATCGTTCATAGTGAACTTCAACCTGAACAAAATAGATCCTCTTTTGGATGAGTTAATCAACATGTTGGTCAGTTTCGAGTCCACCATTAAGAAAGAGAAGTCTGTTCTCATTGCTACTACTTCTGGAAAGAAGAGTTCTTCCCAAAAGAAGAGAAAGGAAAGAGTTCCCTTCCCAAACAGCAAGTTCGATGTGGGTGAAGGTAGTGGGGGCCCCAACGCAAAGTTCAACAAGCAAGTTGATGATGTTTGCCATCATTGTCGAAAGAAAGGACATTGGCACCGCAACTGCAAGGCTTAACTGAAGCAGAAAAGTTCTGAAAAGGGTACGTATTTCATTGACGTAAATTTATCTGTCAATTCTTCTTCTGGGGTATTTGATACGGGCTGTGGCTCACATTTGTGCAATGATTTTCAGCTAATGAGAAGAAGTAGAAAGCTTAGAGCGGGTGAGACCTACCTAAGGATGGGGAATGGAGCAAGAGTTGTTGCTGAAGCCATTGGCACTATTTACTTAAATGTTTTGGATTCTAGTTTTCCTAATGTTTTGAAGGATTGTTTATTTGTTCCGTTAGAAACCTTATTTTTATTCTTGTATTAGATGTTGAAGGTTTTACTTTTGTTTTTGGAAATTCGATTTGCATTATACAAAAGAATGAAAATTTGATTTGCAAGGGATGACGATTATAAACAACTTGTATGAACTAAATCCAAATGAAATACCTATTAATGTTATATCAGCAAAGTGTAAGGAGATAGATCAAAACCCCGCACAACTTTGGCACGCTAGATTACGTCATGTGTCTTTAAGAAGGATGAACGATTTTGTTAGTGAATGATTGTTCTCTTTGGAAGACGTGAAATCACTACAAACTTGTGAATCTTGCTTTAAAGGGAAAATGATCAAGTCACCCTACAAAGGGAAAATGGAACGAGCCGAGGGTCTTTTGTATGTGGTCCACTAAGTGTTAGTGCGAAGGGTGGATACAACTATTTCGCTACCTTTACCGACGATTATTCTAGACATGGGTATGTGTACTTGATGAAGTACAAGTCCGAAATATTTGAAAAGTTCAAAGATTTTAGACACGAAGTAGAGAAGCAACTCGGACGAAGTATCAAGAAGCTACGATCCGATCGTGGTGGAGAATACTTGAGCATCGAGATCATTGACTATCTAAAAGAGAATGGAATAAAATCTCAATGGACTCCAACTGGAACTCCTCAACTCAATGGAGTTTCCGAACGTCGGAATAGAACTCTATTAGATATGGTTCGACCAATGATGGGGTTTACGAACTTACCGGCATACTTGTGGGGTCATGCACTTTGCACTGCCGCGTATTTGCTGAATAGAGTTAACACCAAAGCAGTTAAATCCACACCTTATGAACTTTGGCATTCCCGGAAACCCAACTACAAACATATTAGGATATGGGGTTGTCCCGCTTATGTGAAGCGATTAGTGGGAGATAAGTTGGATAGTAAATCCGACTTGTGCTACTTTTTGGGGTATCCCGAAGACTCAATAGGATACGAATTCTATTATGTCAGAAAGCAAAGACGTTAGTTTCGAGAAACGCCACCTTTTTGGAAAGGGAGTTTCTATCCGACAGAAAATGCAGCATGATAGAACTTCAAGTAGTTCAAGAACCACTAAGTGAAGTTCAAACGCAAGAACAAGTAATCGAACCAATACAATAATCCACTAATATACCTTCTGAACCTATAGTATGTAGATCCGAAAGAGTTCGGAAAATGCCAGATAGGTTATTCCTCCTCGATAATGATGAAGATCATGTTGATCATGGACAAGATCCAAGAACATACAATGAGGCTGTATCGGATGCGGACATGGGACATTGGCTAACTGCCATGAAATCCAAAATGGACTCCATGTACTCCAAAAAGGTGTGGACCTTGGTAGATCCACCTAAAGGAATTGTTCCCATAGGCTGCAAGTGGATCTATAAGAATAAAATTGGAGTGGATGGAAAGGTAACGACCCATAAAGCTAGACTGGTAGCGAAAGGATATACTCAAAGGCAAGGTGTTGACTATGAGGAAACCTTTTCGCCAGTCCTGATGCTGAAGTCCATTAGGATTTTGCTGGCCATAGCTGCGTGGTACGACTACGAGATATGGCAAATGGATGTGAAGACCGTTTTCCTTAATGGAGATATTGAGAAAGAAATTTACATGGCGCAGCTGGAAGGCTTAATATCTTCTGGAAATGAGCAAAAGGTTTGCAAGCTCCAGCGATCCATTTATGGATTTAAACAAGCACCCCGTAGTTGGAACATTAGGTTCGACTCAACTATCAAAGAATTAGATTTTGAGAAGAATCCGGAGGAACCTTGTGTATACAAGATGGTTAGTGGGAGGGCAATGATATTTTTAGTGCTTTACGTTGATGACATTCTACTCATTGGGAATGACGTAGGAATGTTGCAACAAACGAAAGCATGGTTGTCCACACGTTTCTTAATGAAGGATTTGGGAGAAACATCTTATGTATTAGGAATACGCATCTATAGAGATAGAGCAAGAAAGATGATTGGCTTATCCCAAAGCTTGTACATAGACACCGTTATGAAACGGTTTAGCATGGAAGAATCGAAGAAAGGATTCTTGGCAATGTCCCATGGGGTTCGTCTCTCGAAATCTATATGTCCGCAAACACCTAGTGAAATCGAGGAGATGAAAAGGACACCTTATGCTTCTGCCATAGGAAGCATAATGTATGGCATGTTATGTACGAGACCCGATATTGCGTATGCTATGAGCGTCACAAGCCGATATCAGTCTAACCCCGGCCCGGCTCACTGGAAGGCCGTGAAAGATATCCTCAAGTACTTACGAAGGACTAAGGATATATTTTTGGTTTATGGGGGTGCCGAGTTGAAACTATAGGGCTTCACGGACTTTAGTTTTCAGTCGGATGTGGACGACTCAAAGTCGAATTCGGGATTTATATTCACGCTTAATGATGGTGCCGTGTGTTGGAAGAGTTCCAAGCAAAGCACGACGGCCGATTCCACTACTGAAGCGGAATACATTGCAACGTCCGAAGCTGCAAAAGAAGGGACTTGGATAAGGAAGTTCATCCAAGAGTTGGGTGTCATTCCTAATGCTAGTGATCCAGTACCGTTGTACTGTGATAACACCGGAGCCGTGGCGCAAGCTAAGGAGCCGAGATCTCATCAGAAGTCGAAGCATATTCTGAGGAAGTATCATGTCATCCGAGAGATCATTGATAGAGGTGAAGTTAAAGTAGAACGAGTCACCTCGGAAGAGAACGTTGCAATCCCCTTCACGAAGCCTTTACTGAGACCGGTCCATGACAAACATCGAGAGTCGATGGGATTGTGATTCATAGGTAGTTTATTATGGTAATAAACGAACCTTTTTTCGTATTAATGATAAAACACCTTGGCATTCTATATCTTTGTCCATTTGCCACAAGCATAGATATAGTCCTTACAGTTATTACAAGTACTAGTAATTGATCGTTAGGATCGTGAGATATTTACTTAAGTATTATAACTGTTAAACGTGTTCCTAGTCGAAGGGTTACGCCACCAATGAGGATATCGGCCTTTCCCATTAAGAGACTAGCACTTAGTGTATGTGTACTACATCTCATCAGTAAACGGTATTGTGATATCGGCATGCATAAGTGGGTGCTCGTAAGTTGATGAGTTCACTGAACTCCCTCACCCTAGAAATCTCTAAGTGGTTCCCAATAATCGAGTAGAGTTATATGTCGTATAGTTGTACACCATTAGTCCTTATGACCTAGACATCACTAGAGGACCAGCTGTATCGTGACATGTCCCTAAGTTCCACCGAGGACCACCCCAAGGGCCAGTGTTCGTGCAGTACGAAATCTAGTGGGAGGTCTGTGCCTTGTAGTCAAGGATTCGATCGCTAGAATAGTCTTGGATGTCTTGTGTGTTCTTAAAGTTTGTAATCTCTCTAAGTCTCTCGCCAGAGCTGACTAAGTGATGATTAGAGATATTGATTCTCTAAGTCATGCACGTAACGATTACAACACTTAGAACGATCGCGCGGTCATTGAACAAATAAAGAGGTCTCGATGAACCAATGCCTCTAGTTCAATCGGGACATATGAATCGAAGGGATCGTACTGTACGCTAACTCTATCTGAAGGTTCTTGCAGGCACTTCATTTGTATCTAGGGAATCATGACGCGTAGTTGCTAGACGCCAATCTTGATTCGTTGGGTGATTAAGGTGAAACGGGTATCATCTTAATCGTAACTCTAAGGGACGAGTTTTGACCACAAAGGGTTGTGGCCCCACGGCTAGCTTACACCTGAACCATCGAGGGTAACACTGCTCGTGCACATGAGATCTTTGAATGAACGGTCAAAGGTAAAAATGGTTTATCTTTCCATGATTGGAAGTCAATATGATTGGGTCCAACATTCCTAATTTGGAATTATGAATGAGAATAAGAAAAGGAAAAGAATAGGCGAACATCTTAGTGGACTTTCTAAATCGGGAAGTTTCCAAATTTAGAAAGTGCACTGAATTAGGGTTTCCACTTTTGGAAAGTTGGAAATCGAGAGTTGGCACTCGTAATGACGAGGACATTATAATGATTCCGAAAATGTAATTGTTACAATTTTTCGATCGTCCAATTGAGAGAAACGAGCAAGTAAAAGAACTAACGAACTTAAGCTGTTGGGCCCGGTCCAACTTAAGCCCGTTAGGGTTTTATGCAAGACACTATAAATACTTGATTTATAGGTCTTGCACAAGATATAACACACGAACTAGACCCTAGCCGCTCCCTCTCTCGCTCGGCCATCTTCTCCCGCGGCCACCATCGTCGTCGCCGCCGCCAACTCGCCGGAATCGGCCACCCCTTGGCCGATCCTTTTAGTAATTCTTTCCTCTTTTCTATTCTTCCGTTTTTCTAACTATTACGTGTCTAATGCCACGTTCTAGTAGATCAAAGTATACGAGGTGAAATCCGACGCCGCACGCAATCCCACGCGCCGTCCGAAGACAGCGCGTGAGCCACACGCGTCGCCGTAGCTCGCCTAGCCGCTGCTGCTTTTTCGCCGCTGCTGCCCCGGATTGCACGGATTGGTTTTCGTGGCAATCTAGCTTGCTTAGTGCGCCTACCTCACGCTTCAAGAGGTAAACTTTCAAACCCATCGTCGTTAGATTCGGTTACGTTTAAATTAATATATGCATGTTCGTATTAGTAAGTTAATTGTATGATTTTATGTGACTACATGAAATTGTTTATTTTCTACGAGCATCTTATTTGATTTAAACGCGAGCATGCTAATTGATTTAATTTCGATTAAGTAATTAAGCATGTATGTTATTTTTTAAATTTCGCTGGAAGCGCAAAGATCAATTAATTGTTTTCAATTATCGGGCATGTGTTTATGTGTTTTAAATTTGTTTAAATCGCATAAAATTTTTGTTTTCCGCTGCGTTCACGTGATTGATTCCCAACATTCTCGAGGTTAAATTTTCTTCCTCCAATTGGCAAAGTCTTCTCATTGACTCATCATACGTCATCGTTTCATTGCAACTACTTCTAATGATATTATGCCTTATGCAACTTCACCTTTTCCTGATGACATTTGCCACCTCTGGTCGTCGACCTCCACGCCTAAGCATCGTGATCGTCCTCAATGCACTCATTGTGGACTCTCTGTCCATACGGTTGAACGGTGATAAAAATTACATGGTTGTCCACCTGGATATCGCACCAAGCCTTGTGTTGCCAATGCTCACTGTGTTTCTTAATCTCCTACTGCCACTGGCTCAGAATCTCTGCCCATGTCTCTTTTACACACACTTCACTCCCTCAGTCCAGCTCAATGTCAATAGTTGATCCAATTGCTTTCTTCAGAGCTTTCTAGTTCTTCCACGCATGTTAATTCTTCTCATTTTGCACAAGTCTCTTGTGTACAGGTATTTTCACGGCCCTTTAATCTTTCTTTGTCAATCAATGGATTGTTGATTCTGCTGCCACCAAACACATTTGTAATGATCTTTCTTTATTTATTTATTATTCTCATGTTTCCCACACTTTTGTCCTTCTCCCTAATCAAAGTACAATCCATGTACTTTACACGGGTGATGTTCAACTATCTTTTACTCTAACTCTCACAAAGATTTTCGATGCTCCTGAATTTCACTTCAATTTACTCTATGTCAGTTCTCTTGTGCATGGTTCAAATATCATTGTGAGCTTTTCTCACTCTAGATTTCCATTCAGGGTTCCAACCATCACAAGATTGGCAAGGGTAACAAATTTCATGGACTCATTCTTTTGGACACATCATCCTCTTCAGCTACATCTCCTATTGTTTTCCTTTGTAATGTAGTTTTTGTCGATATTTGGCATCAAATATTAGGTCATTTCCTTCCAAATGTTTGTTTATTCCTAAGAATAGGTTGCATATTGTTTTCAACCAATGTTTTAATTGTTACATTTGTCATTTATCAAAGTAAATAAAATGACCTTTTGTATCCCATAATAATTTTGCTCCACGTGTATTTAATCTCACTCAATGTGACCTATGGGGCCCATTCATATTTACTCAATATTGCTAGAGCTTCATATTTCTAGTCTACATGTCCCTTTTTTCTTATAAGTCTGATTGTATCCTCACTTCTGCATATCTCATTAATGCACTTCTTTCTCATCTCCAATATTATGATTGATATTCTTCCACCCTTTATTGTAGACACGACCACGGGTTGGGTCGGGTCCGGGTCTGACTTTTTGGGGACCCGAAACCGACCCGTAGGGAGGCGCGTTCAGGTCGAGTCACTCGGGTCATGCCTGGTTCGGGTTAGTTCCGGGCTGGGTCCGGATCCGAACCGGGTTTTTCAATTTTTGTTCAAATGCTTTAGTTGGGTTTTGAACTCGGGTTCCTTGAGACTAAGTCGCATTCCTAATGGGACACGGTGAATAATTGATACATAACATGCAAGAACTATATATAACATAAATTAAAAGTGTAAATGATTATAATAAATAATGTTAAATTGATTATTAAATTTTCATAATCATTATTATAAAATAATTTTAATTAAATTATTAACAAATATAATATAATAAAAAAAATTAAATAAAGAAAAAAATAAATTGATAGAACTTCAACTTAATCCATTTAAATCTTATGGTTCGATTCAAATATTTCAATAACAATATAAATGTAAAACAATAATTAAATAATATGGTTTACGATTTAATTCTTAGGAATTTAAAAAATTAAACCAGTTATTAAAAAAATTCCATCCTAATATTTTGATTCTACTCATCATATATAGTTTTATTTTTAACGTAGGAAAATAAATTGGGATGAGTTGTAATCTATTTTGTTAAAATAAACATCATCTATGTTTTCGTTATAAATATGTTCTTCTCAATAATTGTCTTATGATAAAATAATCAATAATTTTAATAAGTTATTGTCAATAATTGAGGTTAATCAATTTAAATTAATTGAAATGAGTTATAATCTATTTTTTGAAATAAACATCTTATTTTATTTTTCATTCGAATTTTTCACACAATCAATTTTAATAAAATAAGTGATTTTGTATTAATTCAACGCATTTGTTTATATATTGAATTGATTAAATACTTTATATTTTTAAATAGTGAAGATTCTATTGAATATAATAATTCATAATAGATGTTTGGAAGTATTGAACCATGATTCTATATATTTTTTTAAAGTTTCTTATATTGCATTTGTTTTAATGTAATTAAATTTTTTTAATAATAATTAATATGAAAATAAATCATTTATTTAACATATTTATATACCAATTAAATAATTTTACACTAGATTATTATATTATATATATTTATTGTCAGATTTATATCAAACATCTTGTTTGGCCCAGTTGTAATTGTTGTCCATTTATTCCAATCGTCCCGAGTCAGTCTTCGGGTCGGGTTTGGGTCTAAACCGGCTTGTGGCCATGTCTACTTTTATTGTATCTCTTTTGTTCTTAATTATGATTATTTATCATCTTCTCACTCATTGGTTGCAAGTGGGTGTACATTGGCAGGTCCGGTTCCGGGTCAACGGTCAACGGGGCGGGTCAATCTTCGGGTCGGGTCCGGGTCTAACCCGGTCCGTGGCCGTGTCTACTTTACTGTATCTCTTGTATTCTTAATTATAATTATTTATCATCTTCCCACTCATTCATTGCAAGTGGTACATAATTAAAAAAACACTCAAATTGCAGTATAAATAGATATTAGGCCAGACTTGTGGCCAAGGAGTTTAATCAACAAGAAGGCATTGATTATATTGAGATCTTTTCGCTTGTTGGTAAAATGGTCACGGTGAGCTTCCACGTGGTTATTCTCCTCCTTTATCGTTAGATGACTCACTGGTTTGCAGATTGAATAAAAGTGTCTATGGTCTTAAACAAGCTTCTAGGCAATAGAGTTGCAAACTTACTGATGTCCTACTTCATTTTAGCTTCATTCAATCCAAGTCATAGTACTTTTGTTTACCAAAGGTTCTTATGCTTCTTTGGTTATCATCCTTGTTTACGTGGATGATCTTATTCTAGTTGGCCTTGATCTTGCTGCCATTGATCAAGTTAAAGTGTTCCTTCACATCCAATCAAATGAAGGATCTTTTTGGTCTCAAATACTTTCTTGGTCTTGAAATAGCTCGTTCCTTCTCTGGTATTGTTGCCTCCCACAGACAATACACCTTAAAGCTCCTTGAAGACATTAGTTTTCTTGATTGTCAACTTGTTTCTAATCCAATGGTTTGGAGTACCAAATTCCCTCTTTGATGGACATTTCTTGCCTGATCCTTCTCTTTATAGGCCACTCATTGGTAGGCTTTTTTTATTTGAATATGACCAGATATTAATTTTGTTGTCAACAAATTAAGCCAATTTGTCTATAATCCTCGGTTGTCTCACCTCCAAGATGCTCAGCATATCTTAAAGTACCTCAAAGCTGCTCGGCCTTGGTTTATTTTGTCCCACTCAATCATCTCTTTTTCTCAATGCCTTTTCAAACTCAGATTGAGCTTCTTGCCGTGACACCCATCGCTCCACCCAGGGGCTAGTCCACCCCTAGGTAAGGGTGGGCTTAAGCCCACCCTCAATTTACAATTTCTCCTCTATATTATATTAAATATTTATTTAGTCCACCCAATTTTTATTAATTTGCCCGCTCAAAATTTTAATTAATGCAACAGAAGCCCTATCTTTTTCTATTAATTAGCCCACTCAAAATTCAAATTTTATTTATCAAAAAAAAATCCAAATTAATTAAAAAAAGTCCCATATTTTATTAATTAGCCCGCCCAAAATCCAAATTAATGCAAAACAAAAGCTCTAAATTTGTTTTTTTTTCTTTCTTTTTTTTCCGTTTCTTCTTTTCCTATTTTCGAAAAAATTCTTAAAAAATCCGAATTTTTTTTGGGGGTGCTGCCCCCAAACCCCCGAAAATTTAAGCTCACCCTGTACCAAATTCTTGGACTCGCTACAGGCTCCAGTTTGTGCCTTCCTCGGTTCCTCCCTCATATTTTTGGTGGTCAAGAAACAAGTTACAGTGTCCCGTTCATCTGCGGAGGCTGAGTATCGTGCTCTTGCCTCAGTGAAATTATATGGTTGAAACAATTATTTTTGGATTTGCATCAACCTCTCTCCCAGGCTTTGTTATTTTGTGATAATAAAGTCGTTGTTCACACTGTCTCTAATACGATCTATCATGAACGTACCAAACATATTGAAGTTGATCTTCACTTTGTTCGTGATCATGTTGCTCGTGGTCTGATTCGTCTCATGCATGTCAAGTCTGCTCACCAATTGGTCGATCCATTTACCAAGGCTTTGGCATTCAGTTTATTCACCTCTCTTATGGCCAAGGTCTCCCTTAAAGGCATCTATGGTCCAACTTGAGGGACGGGTACTGGAATATACGGAATATACTCATTTTCCAGCTTATTTAATAGTTGTATTGTACACGTATAATAGTTAGTTATATCATTCTACAGTTGTATACATACCTCCATCGTGTACACATTTTATCCGTTAATGTGAATACAAATATTTTTCAGATATTTTCTTATCTTTCTTAGCTAAGCTCAACTTCCATGATAGTTAGAGTTTTAGTTCTCAATAGGTACATATGTCAAATACGTTCTTCAATTCTAGAAATAGCTAGGTCATATGTTGGGAAGCTAAATTGGTTCAAAAATATATTTATAGCGTTTAAAAATGTATCATGTAAAATTACATCAAAGTTGAAACATTTTTTAATATTAGGTCCCGTACGCATTCTTCTAATTCAACAAAGGCAATAACACGAACGTAGCCTCCTTGCCTCCACATAAAAATCGTTCACAATGCAAGACCTCCAATCTTCTATTATATTTTCGGATTAATATATATTCTATAAATGTAGGCTTATGTCTAGAAAAAGTTTAAGGCTATAATTGAGAATACTGAGCAACCAATTGTCTCAAAAAATAAGCCACTACTAAGTTTTCAAAAGTATCTTCTCTCTTCAACAAATCTTGTTTATACGACACTAGTGATAGAAACGTACAAGGAAATGACTAAGAAAATTAATTCATTCTATTCCTAATTTTCAGCCCCTCCTCTCTTCTAGAGTTCACTCATTGAATTTTAATTTTTCAATTAATTAGATAATGGGTTGTGCGCCGCTCTTGTAAGTAGGGCAGGAGATGAATCAGTTTTATCGACCAACCGATTCACTTTCGACCTGCTTCTTTCGGCGTATAATTTTTTCTGTCGATAATTTTGTTGTCGGGTCGGTAATTTCAACCTATCCATATAAATGGGTCGGTCGATGGTTTTCAGTTTACTCAAAAGTCGGTTAGTCGGGTAATGTCGGCCAACCGACTTTTATAATAATTTTTTTTTATTATAAATATATAATTGTAATTCTTATTTTTTTTTAATGTTAAAGTTATATAAAAACTCAAAAACTCAAAACACAAATTTATAAACTTCTCCGTACTATTTCTATTTTATAATTCTTATTTCATATTCTTGATTATATATTATATTTACTTACTGTAGAAGTTTAATAAAAATAACTCTTAGTTTTAAAGTTAACATATTACTAACACAAGTTTTCCCAAAATATTGAATATCTTTTCAAAAAATCTTTAAAAACATCTTATTATTGTAAAAAAATAAAAAATAAAATAGATTACCGATAATATCAACGACCCATGGTTTACCTCACAAAGTCAACCATTACAATAAATAGGTTGTCAACCATTACCCGACCCATAATGGTCGGACCAGTAATGATTTTCATTTTTTAGTAAAATCGGGTGGTCGAGTCAGATAGGTAATTGGCCGATACTTCCTCGACCTGACCCATGTCCAGTCCTATTTGTAAGTATTTAATGCAATATACACAACATTAAATCCGAAGGTGGTGGTAGCAGGGGCGAGTCCACTCCTTTGGGAGGGTGGACTCAAGTTCACCCTTAAATTACAAAAAAATTCCCATATTATACCTATATATCTATTAAGCGCACTTAATATTTATTAATTTGTCCACCCAAAATCTAAATTAATGCAAAAAAAGTCCCAATCATTAATAATTAGTTCACCCAAAATTTAAAATTATGCAAAACAAGCCTTTTATTTTTTCTTCTTTTTTTTTTTTCCTATTTTTCAATTTTGTTGCAAAAAAATCCTAAAAATCCACATTGTATCACATTCCTGGACTCGCGGGTGGGTGGTAGCCGTGGTAGGTAAGCTGAAAGAGTGGCTGGAATTACTATTCTTACCAATCATTGTAATAAGCAGTAAAACACCCACCAACCTTTTCTCCTTCAATCTTAGCATAATATTAATACCCACTCCCACTTACCATTAACACTGCTTCTCTCTCTATTCTCTACCGGGAAGACCAAGTAAGTGATGATCTTTCTTTGTTTTTATTCTTGTTATTTTATGCCCAATTTGTTTTCTGCAAACTTCAATCTTCTTTTCTTGAGTTCTTCAACTAGCGCTACTTTCTTGATTTTTTTTTATTTTGTTTGTTTTCAACTTAGATTGTTTGTTCCTAAAACCACATTGTTATCGAAACATAATGTGTTAGAGTATTTCTGTATATTAAGCAAGAATATTATTTATTATTCCTTAAATTTCATCTGAATTTTTTGACAGCTACTTTGAGTACTTAATAATCTTCTTTTATGCTGGCTTCTAGTAAGTTGTGTAGGCATTTCGTGTGGTTTCTTCAATTTTCGATTAAGCTAATTGACATATTCCAATGGCACAAGTGGCTGTGAATCCAGATGAAGAGGTAATTTAATGGAGGAAACTAAGTTAGTTGCCCTTGTTTCGTTTATTACCTACATCATTTTGCATCGGATATTTGACGATAATTTGAAATCCTTTTCTAGGTTGTTCTTGGTCAGGAATTCGGACACGTTAGAGTTATTACCTTGAACCAGCCTCGACGATTGAATGTTATTTCGTTTAATGTGGTATATATATTTTTCCAAGAAAACAATCCCACAAATTATTTCGATTATAGATTGTTTTTCTTTTTTTTCTTTTTTATTTTTGGAATGTAATATTAAGAAACTTGTACAAATTCTTTACTAGGTTGCATTGCTAGCAAAGCTTCTGGAGAAGTGGGAAAAAGATGACGAAGCCGAACTTGTACTAATCAAGGTCCATACCGCAGCTAAAACGCTCATACGTACCTATGCGTTTTTTTTAAATAATTTATTTTTTAAAGTTTATATCATGTTTGGTTTAGGGGTTGGGGCGTGCTTTCTCTGCCGGTGGGGATTTGAAAATGTTTTACGACGGAAGGAACTCAAGTAATAATTAAGTGGATCGGATCGTAAAAGAATCTTTGTTGTACTACTTCATGAACTTCACTTAATTAAAATATTTTTCTGTTTTATTTTGTTTCAGAGGATTCTTGTCTTGAAGTAGCATACAAAATGTATTGGCTTTGTTACCACATCCATACGTATAAGAAAACACAGGTATGTATCACCATAACTAACTAACTAACTAACATCAGTCGATGATTCATGCTAAAGTTGACTACTCTTTCACCGTGTCAGGTTGCTCTAGTTCATGGAATTTCCATGGGTGGAGGTGCATCCTTAATGGTCCCCATGAAATTCTCCGTAGTCACTGAAAAGACAGTCCGTACCGATATCCCTTTTTTTTTTTTTTTTTTTTTTTTTTTATCGGACCATAGTGTATGACTTATATTATAAATCAATTTTGATTTAGGTTTTTTCAACTCCAGAGGCAAGCATTGGGTTTCACACTGACTGCAGTTTTTCGTACATACTTTCCCACCTCCCCGGGCATCTAGGTAATTGACGTTGCAAAAAATAAAAACTAAAAATCAAGAATATATACTATTCTCTGCTTTATGTCTTTTTCAGTATGGATGGTTTCACATAAGTGCTTTCCGTAGGCGAATTTTTGGGATTAACGGGGGCAAGGCTGAACGGTGCAGAATTGGTCTCGGCGGGGCTGGCCACTCATTTTGTTCCTTCTGAGGTTCGATTAAATTCCACCAAGTTTTCGGGATCATGTAATTTGCAATGTAGAAAAGAATGTCGGAGTATTGTGGTTTTGTTTTAATTAGATTATTTAATCTTATCTTATCTTGGCAACCAAACGAGGCATTGCGGTATTTTTCTAATGAAAAAAATTTCGGTGATTAGAAATTGGCGGAGCTGGAAAATTGTCTGATAAGTTTAAATAGCGGCGAGGAGAAATCTGTCAAATCCACCATTGAAGAGTTTTCTGCACACGTCCCGATCGATGAAAACAGTGTCCTGAACAAGTAATGTTGCTTAATTTTCGTGGTGTAGAATATTTAAATCTTCAAGAATTTGGTTTTACACGCCTGTTTAACGACTTTACGTCGTGCAGGAAATCAATCATTGATGAGTGCTTCTCCAAGGATTCTGTCGAGGAGATCTTACAATCCTTTGTGAGTGATTGATTTCGGAACCTTGTTTTTTGTTCGTACGCGCTATGCATTATGTAAGTTGACACTCATTTTTTATTTCTTTGCAGGAAGCTGAAGCAAGCAAAGAAGGAAATGGTTGGATGGTTCCATTCTTTAAAGGACTAAAGAGGTCATCGCCGACAGCATTAAAGATAACACTGCACTCGGTATAATATATCTCATATATATTATATATATACAGTTAAACCTTTATAAATTAATACAGTCGGGACCAGGAAATTCTATTAATTTAGCGAGTTAATAATTTAACACGTTTTCACCGAGTCGGGACTGGGAGAAACTATTTTTTAGTCGAGGTTATTAATTTATCAAGGTTCTACTGTAGCTCTTTGTTTACCGATTGTGGGTTTTAATTAACTTCAGATTCGCGAGGGAAGAAAGCAAACTCTGTCTGAATGCCTGAAGAAAGAGTTCAGGATCACGATAAATATTCTTCGCTCCGTAATATCTGGTGATGTTTATGAGGTACTACTATACTATACACACAATTTGACTTCGTTATCCTCTATATACGATTCTTCTTGTCGTCGTAATTTTCTTTTTTCTTGTGATAAGGGTATCAGAGCTGTTACAATCGACAAGGATAACGCGACTAAAGTAAGTCTATCCATCTCTCTAACAAGTAGCAAACAACGCTTTCACTATTCCCAAAAAAATAAAAATAAAAACATTTTATTTGTTGGAATGAACGCAGTGGGAACCCCCGACGCTTGAAGGTGTGGACGCTGAAAAGATAAAGCAGGTATTCGAGCCATTTGAACAAGATTTGGAGCTCAATGTTCCAACACGAGATTGTTTTAGGTTAGTTTTCTTGAACCTGATCAGTAGATGGTTTTCTTACGGCGGTTTTCGATTATTTTAGCTAAAATGCTATTTTTTATTATAGGTGGGAAGGGAAATACGAAGATTCGACATATGCAATTTCTAAGTGAGTAAACAGCAGTAAGGCCAAAGATGAGAGCTGAGGTCAAGCATTGTATCAATAATTATTTGACATGATTCTTGTATTACCAATAAGTTGCAATGAATTATTTCACGAGCTCACTACTAATAAAATCTCTTCTTACTCCTTGCCAAACAATTCGCTTCATTTTTTATTTAGATGATTAAACGGGTTAAATAAGAAAATAAAAAAAAAAAAAAGAAAAAAAAAAAAGCCGACTCTCTTAAGGGTAAGATGGGTACTTTTTGAGAAAAAAGGTAGGTGGTGCACGTGCGTTGCACTTGTTGTAAAATTGTAGACATGAAAAGAAAGAAAATAAATTTATATGAATAGCTGTTGCGATTCAAATACAAAAGAGCAGTAGTTGTTATCAAACATATTTTTGAATTGAAAGTGTGTGAATAGTTGGTGCTATCGTAATAACTACATAAACCAATTTTTTTTTTCATTTGAACTAAATATGCACAACATGATATACATAGCTCATAAGTGTATCCTTACACGAAGACGTAATTGTGAAGATTCTACATGAAAATTTGAAGAAGAGCAAGTGATACAACATGACATGTTTAAAGAATGAAATATTGAAAGGACCAAAAATTACCAATAAATATCGGTATATATGTTCATGTATATTGCAGGTTGGCTGGAATATTCAAATCTTGAATGGTTTCTTCATCATCAGAACTCGTGACAATATTTATTTTCTTCTTGACGCGTCTTCCTTTTTTTTGGTAGAAACATCATCATCGTTCGATGGTTCTTCCACCGTAATTGTCTCGGTTTTGCTCAAAATGGGTTTCTTCTCCTTTATTTCAGGCTCGATCTCTACAATTGCATGGCCTCAAACCTTCATTTTCCCATTGGATATTTTCTTCTTACCGAGCCTCCTTTTTTTTGCAAGAAAAACCGACTGTGTTGTACAGTTGTTTAAACTCAATCGTCTCGTTTTTTCTCGGATTGTTTTTTGAGATATGAAACACGTGGATTTTCACAAAGTGTTTTTAACTCTCTTACTTTCAAACTAAATTTTAGTTATGGCTTAGTGGGTTAAGTATAATACTTAGTGGGCTAAGTAGTGCCTAGTGGGTGAAATTGTGGATATTATTTTAACTACTAAACTCACCCACTAACCCATGTTCTTGAGTGTTCTTGTAGTTGGTTTTCTTGCAAATCATGGGCTGAGGAGTGAAAGCTTGGAATGTCTATAAATACCAAACTCAAGACTCAAGAAAGTGCGGGATTCGAAGAAACAAAAACCGAGAGCTGAAAATAATTCATAAGAGTTTTAGTGTGTTTCTAAAATCTGTTGTACGTACTCCTCACGAGTACATTCTTTGAAATCTAGAATTTTTAATATTTATCTTTTTGTTTCTAGATTTGATTGTAAGAATGATCAAGCTAGTGATTCATTCATTAGGAAGAAGTTTTTGTACTTCTTCTCTTTGTATTCTTGTAATACTGTTTTAATATAATTTTTACGTCCTTTAAAGGGCAAGTTCACAAGTTTTACTTGTGAACATTTTTCACATCTGAGTATTGCTGTTATATTTCCGCTGCATGTTTATACAAGTGTCATAGCACTTAATATGACACCTCTTTATTAAACGAATTCGGGACCATAAATTCTTTCAATTGGCATCAAGAGCCAACACTTGATGTATACTAAGTGTTTGTTCCTTTTTTTTCAGAAACGAATTCGTGATGGATACTCAGATGACTGCTTCTATGTGACCTCCAGTACTTGATGGCACAAACTACACCTACTAGAAAGTCAAGATGAGGGCATACATCAAAGCCATTGATGAGAGAACCTGGAGATCTATTCTTACTGGATGGAAGCCACCAACTATCACAGATGTGAATGGGGATGTATTTCCAACACCAGAATTACGGTGGACAGCAGACGATCTATTAAATGCCAATCAAAACTCAAAGGCGTTAAATGCAATCTCTAATTCAGTAGATTTAACAATGTTTAAATTGATCTCAGTGTGTACTTCTGCGAAGGATGCATGGGAGGTTCTTCAGCTACATTGTGAAGGATCAGACAGTGTTAGAGGAACTAAGCTCAGATTACTCTCTTCCAAATTTGAGAGACTGAGGATGGAAGAAACTGAAACAATCTCTCAATACAATGAGAAATTGATTGATTTAGCTAATGAATTTCAATCCTTAGGTGGTCCTTTGAGCAATGAGACACTGGTGAATAAGGTATTAAGAACTCTTCCAGAAAGATTCAGCATGACAGTACTGCAATTGAGGAGGCCAAAGACACATCATCTCTACGTCTGGACGAATTAATTGGGAGCTTAAAGTCTAGAGAGATGAACTTTGAAGATCAAAGAAAGAGAAAGGTAAGGCTGTCTTAAATGCACTCTAGGCAGAACTAGAAAAGGAATAAGTTGCTACGGAATATGATGATGATGCATAGGAATGTCTCAACAATGTGGCATTTCAGATTCATAAATTTAATAGGGCATACAAACGAAGTGGAATCAAGCCCAGACAGTTATTTCCAGATGGCTCTCCACAAAATCGACAAACTCAGCCCCGGAACAGATCTATTCCACAAAGAACATTTCCTCAAACATCTTCTCAAAACACTTTAAAAAATTCTCCATTTATTCGTTCAATTCTCAACCACCTAACTTGGATCATATTAAATGCATGGCCTGTTCAGAATTTGGGCATTATGCTAATGAATGTGCAAATACCTTGAGAAGAACAGGAATGAGTCTGATTGTACTGTCAGTGATGAGGAGGAAGAGCAACCTGAACAGGCAGAGGAGGAGCAACCCACTAAACAAGCTCTTTCTGTCAGATATATCACTGAAAATTCTTCTGAAACAGAATCACAAGGAGTTTCTCTAGATGCTGCAACACTTTCTGAAACACTTTCAGTAACTGAAATTTCTGAGTTAGATAATAATCATTATACATGTTTGAACTCTATTTCTTTAAATGCAGCAGAATACAGTAAAGAAGCAGTAGAAGATGAGGAAAAAATGTATGAGAAATTGTTCAGCGACTTGGAGAAGAAGACTCATGCTCTAGATGCAGCCAACAAGGAAAATTCTTCCCTTAAAGAAACAATCACACATTTGGAGGTTGGTATCACCAAGAAGGATCTTGAACTGGCAAAGGTGAAAGATGAACTCAAAGAAGCAACTCTAGCAATCAAGAGGATGAATACCGGCACAACTAAACTCGAAGAGATTGTGTCACTGGAGAAGTACAACAAAAATGAAGGTCTAGGGTTCAAAAAACAAGTGAAGAAACACAAGCCAGTAAAGAAGAAAGAAATTGTCTTTGTAAAAGAGAAGGGTTCAAATGGAAAAGAATGCAGAAATTCCACAGTCACCACGCCAGAGTCCAGAACAAGGGGATACCTTTGTCATTACTGTTTCTCACCAGGACATATCCGTCCATTTTGTGAGAAACTAAGTAGTGACAAAATGTTGTACAGGATGAATCACATCACTCCAGGGAACACCTCAAAGAAAAAAGGTAGAATTTACCAAAAAGGAGTGTAGAATATGGACTCCCAAAGGTAAACTTATGTGCAAAGCAGTATACACTTCTTTAAATGCTAACATTTCAGGTTCATGGTACTTTGATAGTGGATGCTCTAGGCACATGACTGGAACTAAAGGATTTCTATCAAACTACCATACACTCAATGGTGGGCGTGTAACCTATGGAAGAGGAGCTAAAGGCAAAGTCGTTGGACATGGAACACTCAGTATTGAGGGACTTCCAAAACTTTCAAATGTCTTACATGTTGAAGGATTGGGGTCCAATCTCATCAGTATTAGTCAATTATGTGATGATGATCTACGTGTTCAATTTGATAAATATTGTTGTTCTGCTCCAAAAACTCCTCAGCAAAATGGTATTGCTGAAAGAAAAAACAGGACTATCAAGGAGATGGCTAGGGTAATGATGAGTGCAAAAAATCTGTCTAAAAGGTTTTGGGTTGAGGCTGTCAACACAGCCTGTCACATCTCAAATCGTGTGTATCTAAGATTAGGGTCTATGATGACTTCATATGAAATTATTTATGGTAAGAAACCTAATCTAGAATACATGCATGTGTTTAGATGTGTTTGATATGTCCTAAATGACAGAGATCATCTAGCTAAATTTGATTCAAAAAGTGATTTGAGTTTATTTGTGGGATACTTTAATAACAGTCATGCATATAGAGTATATAACTTAAGAACCCGAACCATTATTGAATCTGTAAATGTGATATTTGATGATTTTCCTGATCTCCGCAGTAAAACACCTGAAGATGAAGTTGATGACCTGATTGCTGAAGGAGAAACAACCGGAGGAGATATTACTGCCACATATGCTCCATATATAAACAGTCCCGTATCAAGAGAAGAGGGTATTGAAAGTTCTTTCTGGTCAAAAAGGGGGAGAACAAGCTAGTCATGAAGTTGAAGCTGAGACTTTTCATCCTTTGGATGCCAGAGGCAGAGAGCATGGAGTTAATGAAGAAGAAGAAAAGAGGGTGAAGCTGAAAGAGCAGAGGAAAGCAGTGGGTCCAGTGCTAGTGATGTAGGAACAGCAGTTGATACTGAGGAGACCTTGGATATTCTACTTTAATTGTTTTTTTATAAACAATATTTATTTTTGTTCTGTTTTTATTTTTTCCCTCTGAACTTTTTAGGATTGCACTTTTGTTGATTTATGTTTTTTTAATTGTGTTAGAATATCTTTGCTGAATTTGTTTTTGAATTGATCTTTCAATATTTTTTTGCTATAGTTGTTATCAAATTCAGGGGGGTTCAAGCAATGTCTCAGGGGGAGTTAAGCTAAAATTTAGTTTTGATCAGAAAGTTAAAAAGGGGGAGTTTGAAACACGTGGATTTCCACAAAGTGTTTTTAACTCTCTTACTTGAAAACTAAATTTTAGTTATGGCTTAGTGGGCTAAGTATAATACTTACTGGCCTAAGTAGTGCTTAGTGGGTTAAATTGTGGATATTATTTTAACTACTAAACTCACCCACTAACCCATGTTCTTGAGTGTTCTTGTAGTTGGTTTTTTTGCAAATCATGGGCTGAGGAGTGGAAGCTTGGAATGTCTATAAATACCAAACTCAAGACTCAAGAAAGTATGGGA